ATAAGAAATAAGAAATAAGAAATAAGAAATAAGAAATAAGAAATAAGAAATAAGAAATAAGAAATAAGAAATAAGAAATAAGAAATAAGAAATAAAATAGTAATAAAAAAACAAATAAGAGTGTTTTATTTTACCGATCAACATCCCCTTCTTCCAAATCAACCAAGGCCTTGATCATCCCTTCGCCGGCATTATTGACCAGTAAATCGACTGGACCAATTCGCCCCAACCCCTTTTCCGTCTCACCCCAATCCGAGATGTCCAAAACCAGGGTTTCAGCCCCCGTTTCAGCTTTCAGTGTTTCTGAAATTTTTCGTAAATGATTGAATCGGGTGCTACTTTACCGACCTAAATCAGGCTTGGAGCGGCCCACTGCAATGACTTTGGCCCCACATTTGGCCAATTGGACCACAATAGCCCTCCCTATGCCCCTTGAAGCCCCCGTGACTAACACCCTTTTACCCCCAAAGGAAATGTCCATTTTTGATTGGTGATCAAATCAAACAACTTTCACGACTGAATATCTTTCTTTATTAAACGCGAGATAAGGAAGATTTCTTCGTGTTATCATGCTCGCCTTATCACTCAAGAGAAACAAAATCGCATTGAAAATAAAAGAAGTCCAAAAAATTTTGTTTTTCTGTAAAATTTTAATTTTTTTCAACTATAAAACCTTTTTTTATGAAGGCTATGATCTAGGGATTACAACTATCTACAAGTTTTAACAACAAAATTTCATATAATTTGCTATTTTAGAAAAAAAAACCTTGGTTTCATACATTTTGTTCACCCTGTAGAATTTTGACTTGTTTTTGACCTTGTTTTGTCCCATTTAAATTTTTCAACCAAGCTTAAACATTGTTTGGTTCCTCGAAAAAATAATAAATTTTCAAAATTTTGTTATTATTTCAAATTTTACTTTGGTCACCCTGTAGAAATCCTCTAAAATCAGGACATTATTTTGTGCCATTTTCATTTTTCAACCAAGTAGAAACATTGTTTGGTTTTCTTTCTCGAAAAAATGATAAATTTTAAAAATTTTGGTACAAATTTTAATTTAAAAATTTTGCAAATCTTATAAATTATTATTGAAAATCTCGTTTTTGGTTTAATCATGTGATGTTTTGGGAGCTTTTTTCTTGTATTTATTATCAAAACTGTTTTAAGACTAGTTCAAAAAATTTGATCAAGTTGTCAAAAATTCTTCAAAAGTGTTCCAAAACTTCAAAATAAATTAAAAAAATTGTTTCCGGTTTATTTTTGGGCATGTTTAATGTACGAAAAGTCGAAATCATGACAACAAAAATCAAAATTTTGACTTTGTATGTAAGAAGTCGGGAAATACGTCATTTCAACCCTTGGCACTCTAATTTTAGTTAATTATTTTTTTGAAAGGCAAAGTATTAAAAAAACATAATTTTTGTTCACTTTATATAAAAAAATAAAGAAAATCGCATCAAAAAAACTCCAAAAATTAAAAAAAAACTGGTAAAAATAAACGTTTTTGCTGAAACTATTTACTTTTTGAAAAATCAAATTTTTTAAGAATTAATCTTTTTGTTTTTCTACAAAATTTTAATTTTTTTAAATTGCAACCCACTAATTTTTTTTTATAAAGACTATTATCTAAGGATTACAACTATCTACCAGTTTTAACAAAAAAATTTCATATAATTTGCTATTTTAGAAAAAAATTGCTTAGTTTCATACTTTTTGTTCTCCCTGTAGAATTTTGACATGTTTTTGGCTTCGTTTTGTCCTATTTAAATTTTTCAACCAAGCTAAAACATTGTTTGGTTTTCTCGAAAAAATAATAAATTTTCAAAATTTTGTTATTTTTTTAAATTTTACTTTGGTCACCCTGTAGAAATCCTCTAAAATCAGGACCTTATTTTGTGCCATTTTTATTTTTCAACCAAGTAAAAACATTGTTTGGTTTTCTCGAAAAAATAATAAATTTTCCAAATTTTGGTACAAATTGAAATTGAAAAATTTTGCAAATCTTGTAAAATATTATTGAAAATCTCGTTTTTGGTTTAGTCGTGTGATGTTTTGGGAGCTTTTTTCTTGCATTTATTATCAAAACTGTCTTAAGACTAGTTCCAAAAGGTTGGTCAAGTTGTCAAAAATTCTTCAAAAGTGTCCCAAAACGTCAAAATAAGTAAAAATAATTGTTTCCGGTTTATTTTTGGGCATGTTTAATGTACGAAAAATCAAAATTTTGAATTTGTATTTAAGAGGTCGGGAAATACGTCGTTTCAACCCTTGGCTGAGAAGCAATTTATGTGGGGTTTCAAAAATCATATTTTTTATGGCACTTTAATTTTAGTTAATTTTTTTTTGAAATCAAAGGGTTAAAAAAAACAATTTTTGTTCACCTTGTATAAAAAAAAATAAAGAAATTGTATAGGTTATAGACTAGAGGTAGAAAAAAATGAAGTCATAATTACCAAATCATAAAACTGACTTAAAATTGAAATTTTGAAAAAAAATTAACAAGTCAAAATACAGGGTGATTTTTAAAAAACGGCAAGCGCTGTAGAATTTTTATTTATGGCCCGATTTCAAAAATTAAAAAACCAAATTAAATGGCTTTTAATATAGTATAAGCTGACAATTTTAGATTTTTTTTAAATGTCGCAGTATATTTTGTGCCATATTCAAATTTCTAATTTTAAATAGGGACCCTAATATTTTTTTTCATAATTTGAAAGATATTTGTTTTCTTTGTGCAGACATGTGCAATATGTTATACACATACTAAAAATTATTGTTTAAAAAATTATCAATATAAAAAAAATAAAAAAATAAATAAAAAACTAAACAAAATAAATTAATCACACTAAATTAGTAATTTTTCTGAAAAAAATTGAAAAAAACAAACAACTTTCCCAACTGAATATTTTTCTTTATTAAACAGCGAGATAACCGCCATCTACAGGTAGGCAACTCCCTGTTATCATGCTCGCCTTATCACTCAAAAGAAACAAAACCGCATCGACGACCTCTTGAACCTCCCCAAACCTCCTCAATGGTATTTTTTCCAGCATGGGTTTGGCCACTTTTGGGTCAGACCAACCCAACTTCCCCATTGCTGTCATAATAACCGTGGGGTTCACACAGTTAACTCTGATATTGTGGGGGCCGAGTTCCAGGGCTGCGGCTCGTGTGAACGCATCAACAGCCCCCTTGGTACTGCAGTAGACCGTGTGGTCCAAAAGCCCCGCCATTGAGGCTTGAGACGAGATGTTGACAATTGAACCTGGAGCTTTTCTTTGGAGTAACTTCTCGGTTACTAGTTTGGTAACCTGGATTAGGGCTTTGACATTGATGGCGAAAAGTTGGTCAATGTCGGATTCGGTAACCTGGGTTAGGGGTTTGAGGATCGCGAGACCAGCGTTGTTGACGAGGAGGTCGGGGGAGAGGTGGGAGAGGGCGTTTTGGGTCGCTTGCCAGTCGGAGAGGTCGCAAGGGATGACCTCGATTGAGGGAACCTCCTCTTTGAGGGTGTCTGGAATTAAAATCGATTGTTTTTTGTTTTTGAGGTGTGGCTGTGGTTTTTTACCCAATAGTTCCTTTTTTCGGGCAACGGCCACCACTTTAGCTCCTCCCTTCACCAATTGTTTCACAATGTCGCGGCCAATACCTGTTCAAATACAGTTTAAAATATAGTCAAGCGGTGTTGCCAGATCGGGTGATTTTTATGGTTTTTACAACAAAAAAATAACACATCTTTTTCAAGCAATTTATCAAAACAAAAATTGTAAAACCAAAAAATTGATTAAAAGATTTCTATTGTTTTTTTTCCAAAATAACTTTCAAATTTTTTGAATGCTTTAGTAGAGGTGTGTATATTTTTCAGCTAAATTGCCAGAAATACAATTATTTTGAAGAATTTCGGTTAAAACAAGCCAAAAATTGAACAAAATGGCCTAAAAAATCATCTTGTCAAAACACGCCTAAAAATCACAAAATATAATAATAAAAATACAAATTTTTTGTGCATGTTTTTCAATTTACATCTCACGTTTTCTGCGATATTCCTCAAAAACGACTTTTTCCAAAATAAATTGCAAGTCTGGAAATCTAATAAATTTAGAACGTGTTTCAGAGAAAAAAATCACTGAAATCGAGAGTTTTTTGCCATTACAAAATATGATTTTAGAAGAATTTTTCACTGAGAATGTTATAAAATTTTTGTGCATTTTTCACAGAGAAACTAAGTAATTGCAAAATTAAATCAAAATTGTGTTTATCTATTTTTTATGATTTCAGAAATATTTTTCATTGCAGAATTTTAGAAACATCGCAAAATCCGGATTGAAAATGAGTTATATTTTCCAAAATTTGGACGTTTTGTCAAAATGTTTTGCTTAGAAATTTGTCGAATAATGTGGAAAATTGAACAAATAATAGATGGAACTAATTATTTATTATTTTGTATTCAAAATGGAACAATTAAAAAAAATTACAGAAATTGAGAAGTGATTAAATTCTGACACATTTTTAATCCCAGTAAAATTTTGCCATTTGCAAATAATCGCTGTAAAATGGGCAGAAACCATAGCAATTATAATTTTTTGATTGTGAGAAGAAAATACTCGGATTTAGAACATTTTATACTAAAAAACTAACTGAGAGATTTTGAAAATTGCAAAATCAGGTTATACACTATTTTCTGTAAATTTAGGAATGTTTCTTAACAAAAAAAACTTTGTTTGTGTCTCAACACAGTGGAAATCGCGAAATTAAACCTAAATATAACCACATTTAGTCGAAAAGTAAATAATTTTTGTCTTTTTCAAGAGTTTTAGCAAATTTTTCAAGTGGAAACGCAAGAATTTCGTTTGAAAACAAGTCGAAAATTCACCAAATTAGACCAAAAATGGGTGTTATTTTAGCTCTTTTCGAGAATTAAGCACGATTTTAAAATTAAAAATTGACTTTATTTTAATTTGTTTTGGCCTATTTAGTATTTTTTTGAACCAAAAACTGCAAGATCTGTCAAAAGACGCCTAAAAATTAAAAAAACAAATCGAATTTGATGCTATTTTGTACTAAAGTCTCGCTAAAACGAACTAAATTAAGACGAAAATTTTATGATTTTTGGATTTTGTGAGCCATTTTAGCACGGTAGAAACGCAACTTTTGTTTAAAATAAGCCGAAAAGTAGGCCAAAAGATGTCATTTTTGCCTTTTTCGCGAGTTTAAGCCGATTTTCAAACTAAAAACTCAGTTTTTCTACGAAATTTTGTCATCAAAAATCACAAAACTGAAAGTAAGTTTTTCCACCCTAATTTCAGGAAAAAAGTGGCCAATTACCTCCCAGGGAGGTAAAAATTTTCCTCCCTCATCTGTCAAAATTACGTTAAAAATATACGTAATCTAGAAACAGAAAAATTGAAATATCAAGGAGTTTTTCCTGTTAGATCGTAAGAAAAATTATAATGTATTACAGTGGAGGAAAGTGTGTCTTTTCTTCCCTGGATGGCTATACCTACTTTCCTCCCTATTACTTAGTTTACGTAAAAAACGTAATTTTCCACACTCTTGGAAAGATTTAAATCGTAATATTTGTAAACTTGGCAATTTTTCAACCCAAATCTGATGAATTTAGTTTTTTTGGGCTGGCAACACTGAACTCACCTTGACTAGCCCCCGTGACAAGGGCCGTTTTCCCATGAAAACTAATCTCCATCATGGCACACTACGAATTAACTCCAATAACCGTCTAACAAGGTCACAAGTGTTATCGACTGACTCGATTGCTAATGAAGGTCAACGAAAACCACATTTACACTCGAATTATTTTATTAAGCTTAAACCCACTCTATCTAGCCCCAGTGGTCCACCCCTCCCGGATTTACCCTACCAAGCTTTTTAGTGCAAAAGTCGATAACAAATTTTAGTTTTTTCGTTGTTTTTCACATGCCCTATTAAAATTCCATGGGTTTTTTATCAGTTCTACGCTTATCAAAGGGGTATAAAAGCCATCAACACGATTACGACCTCAACAGTGTTTGATAATGGAAATAACTTTCCACGGAAAAAGAGCTTTGGTGACTGGAGCAAGTCAAGGTAAAGTTTTCACTTTTTTGTTGAGTTGAAAAAGTCCATTAATGACCTTTAAATGGTAAAATTTAAAAAAATTTATATAGGACATTGATAGATACTAATCTAGTCCATCGCCGAAAATTATTTTCAATTATACAGCGTGTCTCAAAAATAAGTTACAATACAAACTTGTGTTTTTTTAAATAGAATGTAGATTTTTATGACAATGTTTTATTGGTCGATTTTGCTTAGTTTTCAAAATAAGACGGTTTTTTGACGAAAACACGCCCTTTTTGAAAATTTATTACACAAAAACTAGGACAAAATTTAAATAGAACACCCTATTTATTGTTTTTGCATTTAAAAGTTTTAAAAATTATTTACTTTTAGATGTTTATAATCAATAACTAAAAAGATATTTAACGTTAAACATTAAAAAAAAATTACTATCGTTTCATTCAGCCAAAAAGTGAAAACTGAATCCATTATTTTTTATTTTTACAATAAAATAATTCGAATTTTAGTATTTATAACGACTTTTACAATCTCTAGATAAATCAACGAATAAGTGATTTCGATTATTGATAAATTATATACCATCTTTGCCCGTTTTTCAAGCATTTTTCACGATTTTGATATTTTGCCAAATTTTTGAAAAAAAAACTGCAAAACCACCAAATTGGGTAAAAAAAAAGTTCTGTTTTTACAAAATGACTTTTGCATTTTTCGAATGTTAAATTCTTAGAAATACAATTATTTTGGAAAATTTCAGTAAAAACAATCCAAAAATTGAACAAAGTAGCCTATAAAATGGGGTTATTTGTCTTTTTCAAGTGCTTTTTTTATTTTTATTTATTATTTATTATTTTTATTTATCTTGTCAAAACAGGCTTAAAAATTACAAAAGCTAATTGAAACTGATAGTCTTTTATATGTTTCACTTAATTTAACTGGTTTTTGTGTGGAAATTAGTCCAAAGTAAGCAAAAAAAGCACAAATTTGGTAAAAATAGAGCTATTTTCACTTTTTCCACATTTTTTGTATGTTTTTCAATGTTTTCTGCTAGATTTCTCGATAACAATTTTTTCCAAAAAAAAAAAAGCCAAAAAAATCGGAAAATTTTGCCTACAGAGTAGAAAACTGCAAGATTAAATCTGGAAACGTTTTAATAAATTTAGAACGTGTTTCAGAGAGGAAATCACTGAAATCGTTTTTTGCCATTGCAAAATATAATTTTAGAAGGATTTTTTACTGAAAATGTTACAAAATTTTTGCGCATTTTTACGGAGAAACTAAATAATTGCAAAATTAAATCAAAATTGTGTTTACTATGATTTTAGAAATATTTTTTATTGCAGAATTTCAGAAACATAAAAAATTAGAAAATCGGGATTAGAATTGCACTATATTTTTGTTCATTTTTCAGATTTAGAACATTTTATAATAAAAAACTAACTATTTGAGAGATTTTGAAAACTGCAAATTTATTTTCGGTAAATTTAGGAGAGTTTTTCAACAAAAAACTCAAAAAATTCGAGCGATTTCTCCTAAATAAAGCAGAAAATTGCAAAATTTGATTTAGAAATGCGTCATTTTGCTTGTTTCAATTATTTTTACAGTGTTTTTTAACAAAAACACCTAAATAGTTAAGAATTCTTGTCTCAACATAYTAGAAATTGCAAAATTAAACCTAAAAATAACCAGATTTACTCGAAAAGTATATAATTTTTTCCTTTTTCGAGTTTTATCAAATTTTTTAACTGTAAACGCAAGGATTTCGCATGATTTCGTTAAAAACAAGTCGAGAATTCACCAAATTAAACCAAAAATGTGTGATTTTTGCTCGAGTAATTAAACACGATTTTCAAATAAAAAATTGATATTATTTTAATTTGTTTTAGTCTATTTAGTTCGTTTTTGAACCAAGAATTAAAAAAAAACAAATCGAAATTGATGGTTTTTTTGTTTGTTAAATTGCTTTTAAACACATATTTGCATTTTTTACAGAGAAACTAAATAATTGCAAAATTAAATCAAAATTGTGTTTGTCTATTTTCTATAATTTCAGAAATATTTTTCATCGCAGAATTTAAGAAACAGAAAATTACTAATTAGGGATTGGAAATGTATATCTTCGTTAATTTTTCAGCAATAAAAAAATTAAGGCGTTTGTTAAAAGTTCAATYACTTAAAAAATTTAAATGGAACATCCTATTTATTGTTTTTCATTTAAAAGATTATTAAATTGTCTTTCTAAAATTATTTACTTTTAAAGATATTTAACGTTAAACATTAAAAAAAATATCTATCAATGTCTTATACAATTTTTTTTTAATTTTATGTATTTTATTATTGTATTTTTATTATTTTTTTATATTTTTGAACCTTATTTAGGTATCGGCCGCGATATTGCAATCCAATTAGCGAAATGTGGCGCCGAAGTCATTGCTGTTGCTCGCAACCAACAACTCCTAAGTACCCACCCCAATTTTTTTTTAATTTTTTTTCCAAAAAATTAAATTTTTAGACGATTTAAAACGCGAATTCCCTTCAATTAGCCCCATTTCCGTCGACTTAACCGACTGGAAAGCCACTCAAAAGGCCTTATCCAACATGGGCCCCATTGACCTCCTTGTCAACAACGCCGGAATTGTCATCCTAAAACCGGTCCCGGAGTTCTCCGAGGAAGACTACGACCGACTTTTTGACACCAATGTCAAAGCCCTTGTCAACGTCACCCAAATCGTCACCAAACAATTGCTTGAAAGGGGGGCCCCGGGGGCTATAGTCAACGTTTCGTCCCAAACGGCCAAAGTCGGGCTTGAAAAGCACGCGGTGTATTGCGGGACTAAGGGGGCTGTCGATGCCTACACCAGAGGGGTGGCTCTGGAGCTTGGCCCCCACAACATCAGAGTCAACTGTGTTAACCCCACTGTTATTATGACGGAAATGGGGAAAATTGGGTATTCTGATAAGAGATTGGCTGAGAAAAAAATTGCGAAAATTCCATTACGCCGATTTGGCGAAGTTAGAGAAGTCACCGATGCTGTTTTGTTTCTTTTGAGTGATAAGGCCAGCATGATAACGGGTGAAACGCTCCTGGTTGATGGTGGATATGTGCATGCTTGATAATAATAAATCAATAACTGATAACAAATGTTTATTTTTTGACCTAGTTAATTAATTTTAGTTCTTATTTATGATACATAAAAATTTGAAACCAAGCCTTTTTTGCAAAAACTAATTATTCTACAAAAAAATTATAAAATTTTGCGATTATTGATAAATCATATACCATTTTTGCACCTTTTTCAAGCATT